TCCATGCTAACATCCACCCAAGGTGCTTCTGATACAGGTAACGACGTATACAACATTGTATTCTGCCATCTCGTCTTGGACAATTGGTAAATCCTACATTGTCAGACGTGACACTCTACATCTCTTGTTAGCCTAGGCCAGAAGAAGTGCTCTTTGACGAGGGTGAGAGTTTTCCAAAATGGCTAGCAAGGCCTCCATTATGATTCTCTTATACAATTCCTTCTCTCAAGGAGTATCTTGGAATGCATAGCTTATTGCTGTAGAATAGGTAGCCATGCGCACGGCAGTATTGTGCTGTCGGTATTTCCTAATATTTTTCTCAGATCTCTTTGAAGTTTTCATTTGCTTTGTACAGGTCTTTGATGATCTCGAAACTTATGAATCTTGTTTGCATTGAAGTGATTAATAAGTGACGTATGCTTAATGGATCTGCTGCTCGATTCTGGCTCCCATCTTTATGTTTAAGTACAAAATAGAACGATACAAAAAATTCTACTCAGGTTGTGTGTCAGCTTCTAAGTTTTTTTTGGTTGATCATAAATTTCAAGGCTTCATTATCTGTGAACAAGGTGAAATCACTTGTCAATAGATAGTGGCTCTAATGCTCGTGGGCTCTTACGATTGCTAGAATTCTTTGTCGTAGGTTGAGTACTTCCTTCTGGACTCTTTGAGTTTCTCGCTGAAAAAAGCGATGGGGTATCCGCCTTGACTTAATACAGCCCCGATTCCGACACTTGATACATCACATTCTACTTCTAATAGTTGTGTGAAATCTGGCAAGGCTAGAACTGGTGCTTGAGTTACTTTTTCTTTGAGTTTATCGAAACTTATCTGAGCGGTGCTTGGCCAAGTGAACTCTTTGCCTTTTAAAACTCGATGAGGGGAGCGGTGGCAACGCTAAAATTTTTAATGAAGTCACCGTAGAATGATGCTAGCCTAAAAAACTGCCTTTATTTGACGAATGATTGCAATGTGGTCTAGCTTATAATGACTTTGATTTTTGTCGGGTCCATTTGAATACCTGCGCTGGATATGTTGTAACACAAAGAGCATACTTGATTTGTCATGAAAGTGCATTTCCTTGGGTGGGCGTATAGTTCCTCGTTTCGGATTACTTCAAAATCTGCTGTCAAGTGTTGTAGATGTTCCTCTTTAGGATGCTTATAAACTAGTATGTCGTCAAAGTAGACTACGACGAACTTCCTAATGAGGTTGCGAAATATCTGATTCATTAATCTCATGAAGGTGCTGGGTGCATTTGACAGACCGAAGGACATGACTGTCCACTAATGTAGTCCACCTCGTGTCTTAAAAGCGGCCCTTGGTCGTATTCGTATATGGTGGTATCCACTGTTTAAGTCGATCTTTGCTAATAGAGTGACTCTATGTAATTAGTCCGGGAGGTCATCCAGTCGAGGATTGGGGAATCAATACTTGATAGTTATTTTGTTGATGACTCTGCTATTGATACACATCCTCCATGATCCATTTTTCTTGGGTACCATTAGGGCCAGGTTAACACACAGACTTATACTTTCTCTAACTATTCCTTTGGTGACGAGATTTTGCAGTTGCCATTGTAGTTCCCCGTATTCCTTCAGTTTGAACCTGTAAGCAGGTCGATTTGGTAAGAATGATGCATGTATCAGGTCTATTGCATGCTGATTGTCCCTCAGTGGTGGTATTCCTTGTGGCAGACTGTTTGTCGTGACAACCTGGAAGTTTTGTAGTAGAGGTTGTAGGCGTGCTGGTATTAAGTTTTCTTCCTTGGACCCCTCGAGTAGGACTAGGGCTAGTGCCATGAGTGCTTCTTGAACCGACATGTATGTGGCTCTTGGAACGACTATTTCCTTGTTGTCGTTTACTCTAGCATCTTTACTTGGTAGCAATATAATGTGTTTGCCATCTTTCTTAAATGAGTAAGTGTTTTTAAACTCGTCATGGTGAGTTTTGCAGTCGTATTGCCAAGGTCGTCCCAGTAGAAAATGGCATGCGTCCATGGGAACGATGTCACACCATACTTATTTCTTAAATTGGTTGCCTATTGAGAACTCCACAATGCATTGTTGATCCACACGTGAGGGAATAGGGTAGGGGATATTTTTGGGTTGGTAATTCTAACTTTGGCACAATTTGTGTCAATACGACATTTTCACAACTGCCACAATCGATTTTCAACCTGCAAACTTTACCTTTAACTGTACACTGTGCGAAAGATGCTGTGTCATAACCATGACTAATCTCGTGCTGGTTCTGATTGTAAGACTCGTCGTATGACTAGTAACTTGCCTTCATTCTCTAGGAGTTGAAATGCTTCTTCGACATTGTCTTCCGGGTCTTCATCCGCGCTTTCCTCTATGACATCTTGATCTGTAAAAGAGACAGTTCGGCTTGTGGGACAGCTGGAGGCGATGTGGCTGAAACCATGACATCTAAAACACTTTCTTGTTGGTACTGCCCCTGACAAGCTACCTTTTTTGGGTTTCTTGTTGCTTGGATCAGTTTTTTGCATTCTCGAGTGCTAATTTTTCTATTCTTGGTTTGCTTTTGTCGGTAGGTGTAGCTACTGGGTATGACTTATGTGAGGATTGCTGCCGGACGGAAGACTGCGATCTGGCTTGCTTCTGTTGCCTTTCAACTTTCAGGGCTAAGGTTTGGATGTCACTGGGTGACTAATAGGGCTGCAGTTGAACTACATTGTTAATGGAGGGCTTCAGTCCTCCGAGATAGCGGACGAAGCTATGCTCCTTTTGTTTGACTAAGTCACACTTGATTTGTAACTGATCGAATTTGGCCCTGACTTCCTCTATAGCCATTTCTCTCTGCTGTAGGTTGTGGAGCTTCAAGAACATATCTTTGGTGGTATTATAGTGGCAGGTATTCCCGTTGTAGCGCTTTCTTCGCTTTGTCCCACTTCGTGATTTTGTCACTGCCATCCCTTGTTCGGTGACGTTGTAGGTTGTCCTACCATAATGAGGCATGCTTTTTCAGTTTAATAGCTGCTAGTTTGACCCGCATATCTTCAGGTATCTCTTTGTATTCGAAAGTTCATTTGACTGTACGTAGCCAGTCAATGAATTTATCTGGATCCATACCACCATCAAATTCAGAGAGATCTATTTCAATGCTGAAGTCGTGTTGGTCTCGGGACTCTTCTCTGGTCTCCTGTGGTATTAAATGCCGAAACGGCTTGGAAGGTATTCTTTATCGCTCACATCTTTCTGATGGAACGGATTGTGATCGTCGTCCCTGTCTTCATGTCGACTTTGTTGGTCACGACCTAGGGTAAACCTCACCTTGGGTTCATTCATCTAGTTATGCCAATTGTTGCTGTAGGCGGCAAATTTTACGCTGCAACGCATCCCGGGTGGGGTCTGATGCATTTCTTCTTGGGGGCATAACTGATGGTTTGGGGAAAAAGAAGTCAAGGTGAGTGGAGGGAAAGAAAGAGGGAAAGAAAGGACTAACAGAGAGAAGAGAAAGAGGGGAAATCAAGAACAGAAAGAAATGGAAGAAGGAAGTGGGAGAAAAAATTGGTTTGAGTAGGGGTGCGGATACTAGGGAACCCTAGGATAGGACTGAGTTGGGCTAGCTTTGATGCCAAATGATACCGGAGGAAGCCCATACTACAATAGAAATAATAATATTATTGTAGAATTTCAAATATTACAACAAGATTTTTCAAAGTAGGGAATAAACGACAACAAAATAATAACTCAAACATAAAGACAACACATGCTCCAATAAGGGTTGTGGAAAGATAAGATGTCTCTTCGGGGTCGAGCTACAGCTGGAGCATCACCCAGACCCTTGGAGTGGTCACCACCTCGGATGAGTTACAGCCAGAGCAAATTTTAGTCGTCGGATACAACCCTCAGAGAGGAAGAATGCCTCATAGACAATACTTAGAATCTGTACTCATCCAAATCCCTCTTTCCTAAGCAAAAACAACCCTTGTATATAAGGGGGATTATGACTTATACACAACACTTTCAATTATGTAAAAGAATAAAAATAAAGTAATATAATAGACATGGATTTATAATAGGGGATTTCATGAAAAAGGAAAGAAATAGGAAAGACAGACATAAAGTAGGTAGGACATAAAATAAGAGAATCATAAAAAAGGAAAGGAAGAGAGAGTGAGATAATTGAAAAAGGAAAGGGGAGGAAATTGTAGTTGCGGTACTGTAGCGGCTATAGTGCTGCTTCCTCAACACTGTAGCTGTTACAGTGCCGCGACCCAGAAAAAGCTCTCGCGTTGCATATAGTATGTTTGTGATGGTCCTTTTTTCTTCAAGTATCTTTCCCACCGTATTGGCACACTTTGCAAGTTCAAATATGTATAAAACCCATGCATTTTTTATTGAAGGACTAAATTGAATCAATTTAGGGTTGATTCAAATAATTTGATTCAACGATTAATGTTAGAATCCATAAAAGTCAAATACTTTGCATACGAAGATAAACTATTTAATATAAAGTTATATTATTCATATATTATATCGTTAAATATTATTTTTTAGGCTCTAGTATGACCCCCAGACATGAGCATTATATTGACATGCTTTCCTTCTCGTCTCCTGAATCTTGATGGAATGCCAGCAATGAGAGGCAATACTCTAGCTGGATCATGGCGCTAACATTGTCAAGGTCCATTTCGATTAAAAATCAATAATGTAAAGATCTTCAAAATTTCAACCTGACTGTAGATTTTGGCTTGGTTTTTAAACTAGCTAGATTGAAGAACATTGTCGTAGCCTTCAAACTACCTAGATCAAAGAACAATAGCCCTTCAAACTGATAGGTTGGTAGATCAATGATCTTTGAAACTAACTATATCGGTTCTTTAGTTATTTATTTTTTTTATGCATGTTTTCTACAACGATGACTAGATACCTGCAGTCATGTTCGTTTTTTGCAGTTATGTTTCTATTATTTAAACATGTACCTTTATTAAATATTTTGCTGACATTTTTTGTATTTTTACGTGATTACAGGGTCGCCTATTACGATTTTTCCAAATTTTCCAGCTACGCTACTCTATATCTAGTTCTGCATTGTCAAATTCCTTTTTCTGGATTATATTGACAGTCAAGATGGTCAAGTCATTGGTGTTTCAAAAGCTTGGCAGTGCAAACTTGCCCTTGGCTTGTGTGTCTAACTCAATTAACAGACCAGTATCACTTCAATTGGATGTATCTCTCCCTTCTATTGAAGATATTAGATGGAGTTTCTCTAGGTTGTATTATTTATTCAACATGCAGCTTGACAGGAATATTGGAACGTAAGTTTAGCGTATATAACTGTATCTTGTTTTGTCCAAAACAATATTTGTTTTCAATTTAATTTTATTTTTAAGCCTATCCTGTTGATTTATGTCGAGTATTGAAAATTATTTCATTAAATAAAGAAGAAAGGGGAAATGAAATTGTAATAAAATTGTGAAAGTTCAATTGGCTCTCCCAAATTGTTTGATGTTGTACATCTTGTAGATATGAAAATTTGTTCTTTTTTGATATCCACTATGAATAGAATGAACTTAGGGTTTTTTTCTGTAAGAAAGAGATACTTTTGGTAGACATTTTGGAAGCTTAACCACATTGGAGTAGTAATTGTTGATGCTTATATTTCTCAGGTTCTTCAAGTTACTTTTGGCAATTATAGGGCAAAATTGGCAGCTATTGAAAATTTTATATGCTATTCTATGCTTAGCGTAGATACAATACGAGGAGAAGATTTGATATGTAAAATAACTAAGAGATGAGAGATTTATAGACATTGATCAGATTTTTTAAAGTATGAAGGCATCTATAGTATGATTTAAATATGAGAAGATTTGATATGATAAACATCTATAGTATGATTTATTTTTTTAAATATGAAGACATTAAGGAAGATGGAAATGCCACTTTGATAAATTGTTAATGCTAGTTTTGACGAGGAAATCATTTTGGAAGTGATATTGATCAAAATTGTTAGGTGTATCATATATTGAATAAAAAAAAGTGGAATGGAAGTAGCTTGAAAAAAAAGATGCATGATATTAAATCTTTAAATCGAAATGAAATACTTATTGGGATTTGGAATGTTATGGATGATTAGAGCAATTTTGTTTACAAATCTTTTTATTGAAAATTCGAAGACTATGATAATCCTTACTGAAAAAAGACGAAGCATTTTAATATATGAATTTAAAGACAAACAAGATATCAAAGATTGTAGTAATTAGAAAAGAATTAAATAGAACACAGACTTTGAAAAATTACGCCATTATTGAAAAAATAATTTGGATTAAGATTAATATAGGAGAATTCCATGTGGATGCAAATGTTGTGCTAAGATAATTATGGGCAAGTAGAGAGTAAAAAAATAATCTTTATATAGTTTTAATAAATTTTGCAAAGTTTATGATTAGATATTATGAGAATTAATTTAATGTGCATCAAGGAAAAAATAGCGTGATTCAAAGGCATGTTGAAGTTCTTAAAGATATATATTATGTCACATTGACTAGTATTTGATGTGATTGCTGAGTTATTTACCAAAGAGTTTTCAATTGAAGTATTTTTATATGAAGGCTTAACACCATTTATTTCGTTTTTGTTTTGATTATGGTGATGCTTGCAAAGAGTATTTAAAATGAAGTGTTGGAGTATTTTTTTCGTGGATGACGTAGTTCTTTTCAATGAAATCTCCGGTTAAACAATTAAAGAGTTAATGAAGAAAATATCTAGTTAAAGAACTTTCGTTTAGTAGAATAAAGGTTGAGTATATATTATATAATTTTAGTTGGCCTGATATTAATAATTTACGGTCAATGTAATTAAATGATTTGGCGATGTCTGGATGTGATAGTTTTTTGGATTTTAATTAAACTGGATATTTATATAGTTAAGGATATAACTTCTAGAGTTATGATTGGCTGGTTAAAATAAAGTAGTGCCTCAAAAGTGTCCTGCGATAAGAAAAAAATTAAATTACATAGTGTCACCTATGCTTGTTGGGATTCTAATACTAGTAATATTAGTTAATATCCAAGTGAGCATGATGTAATTGAGGATGTTAAATGGAATGTATGATTAACTAGAAATGATAGTTTTAAAAATAATTATATTAGAGGGATGATGAGATTGTCATCTATTTTATTATAAGCTAGCAGAACATAGACTGTGGTTGTTTGAGCATGTGCAACAAAGGGTAGAAAATACACAATAAGACTGAGGAAAAATAGTATTCAAATATTAAAATGGAAACGGGTGGGACAAGGTAACATGCATAGATGCTGTGTGAAAATATTTATGTAGACTTGATTCAATGCCTCATGCTCAGCAAGACTAACGCATAACGAGGATTCATTGATTGAATTCACCGTAGTTAGGATGAGGCTATTGATTATAATAATGATGATTAGAACCATTCAATTCTGTGTTTATAATTCAATTTCTTAAATTGCGTCTCTTAATATTTTTAGAATGTCTAGTATGAAGAGCATCCCGTTAACAATACCAATGCTTTCCACAGTTCTTAATTTTTGATGAAAACTGAAACCTATAATTGTTAAAACTCTACTTTCACCAGATGCCTACTCGCAGCTTGAAATTGTTCATTTTGATTTGTATCTTGCTTTAATTTTTATGGTATTGAAAATTTTAAATTGATCAAAGAGGTTTTGTGCATTTTGTAGGTTTTTCGTTGCCTTACTAGCAGCATGTTTCTCATTCGTCATAGTTGGAGGTTTTTTATTTTACAAGTTCAGGTACTTATGTTACTTCTGTAATGAACTCCGTGCTTATCTTTAGTCAAATATACAATGGAAATGGTTGGATTGATTTTTACCCAATCTTGGGATCCTTTTTGCTGTATATTGCAAGCTGGAGAGGAAGATAAAAAGAAAAGTGAAATATTAATAGAAAATAGAAAGACTAAAGAAAATCTCGGTTGCTTAGTACCACACCATCACAAAATGTAGTATTTTTTACACGGCTTAGGAAGAAGAGCCAGCCAGCACACAACACGGACCTATTATCAAAGTCACAAGAAATTTTCTTTCAACATTATTGATAATAATATGCACCATAACCTCTTTTTTATAATGAGAATAAAACCAGAAAATATGTAAATTAACATTAGGATATTTTGTTAGGGTACTAAGCTCTAGTAAATCCAAATTAATCATAAAGAAATAAACAAAGTAAATTAAAATCTCAATGACAACTAATAAATTAAACTAAGTTCGCCATCAGTGCTGTTAAAACTTATTTCCTTTGTTGTTATACCCATTCCTAACTATTTTTGGATGCCTAGCATTCTAGATAGCTGAGTGTAGTGCGTTCATGACGCGGTAGAGGGATCCCGTGATCTTGATTCTGTAGGTAGCGCGACATCCAAATCCCGTGCTTGTGAGAAGTAGCCGCCATTTACTTTTTTTATTATTGCTTCTTTCCATTTTAGCAAGTTTCCTCATTTCCTTTCCTTCATTTTTATTCCTTTCCTATATATGTGTTGTATTAGGGTTTTGATCGGTAGTTTGGTAGTGTTTTTTGTTCGGAGCAGCCGCCATCTCTGTCTTCACTTCTAGGGCTGTAAGCCAGGGTGAAGGGGTGCTCCAAAGGTGGTGTTTGTACTTCCCTAACTCCTCCGTATCCTTCCCGCTTCACTGCCACACATCCCTTTTTTGCTGCAGCTGCCTAGAATATTTGATCCCGACTGTTTTCCTGCAGCTGCCAGCCTTCCGACTGTCTTCCCCTTCTTGTCCTGCATTCGAGCCGCCCAAAACTGCCCCTTCCTAGTCATGTTCCTGCAGTTTAATCCCACCCACCTTGCCGCTGCCGCCCAGGACAACTAGGGATCACTACCTTCCTGCTGTTCCACTGGTATCCGCCCCAACTCCTTGCTGCCACCACTTTGGACAGCAACCCCTCATGCTGCTCCCTGCAGTTTCACACTTCCCACTTGCTGTAACTCACATCCGTTGTTGCCGCCATACCTCCACCTTCCACGCTCTTAACAACCACTACTACCACCCTTGGATCTAATCCCTATCTTGAGTTTGTGTTGTGAGTTGTTGCAATTTCAAATTTGTGTTTGTTGGTTGTAATTTCCCACCGATTTTAGTACTAATTTGTTTTTTCTATTGTTGTTGGTTAACTCTGGTATCAGTTCACCCAAGTGCAGTACGGCCTTCTAATTCTGCATTTTTCTTACCTTTTCTTTGAAAATCTGCTTCAAACCTCTTCTTTATTGACTCTATGAAACAATACCACACTTCTGAATTATGGTAAAAGCTAAAAGTCCAAAATAGTTCCCCAACAATTCAATTGTGGCTAAGTTAATCTCATAGTTTCACATTTTTCTATCTTACTAAATTGATCTGAAATGGTCCCTTATGGACTAACTTTGGATTACTTTTGTAAAATCGGACTTTTATTGCAATTTCATTCAATTTCTACCCGAGGGATCATTTGGGATGATATTTGTTTATTTGAGTGACTTAATTATCCATTTGTGAATAATTGGAGGACTATTGTAGCTTTTCTCCACTATAAAAGGACAATGCATGGAAGTTAATGACTAATTTCTTTGTTTTTTGCCAAGAATGTTCTACAAACATTTCTGTAATAAGTCATAATTATTGTAGAAGTTTGTTGAAGATACATGTGACACTTCAAGTATTAGTTTATGGATGGCTAAGATAGTTGTTTGGGGCATCAGCTTTGTGGCCCAGGTTTCATTCAAGGGAAGGCAATGCATGCTTTTAACATTGATGTAGTGCGTCTGAGTTTTAAGGTGATTTTTTTCATATTTATCAAATAAAAACTTGCTAAAAGTTTTTTTGGAGGCATTCTATCACAGCTTCTCATTGATCAGAATAATATGTGCTTTGGTCTAATAGGCCTCACAACTATCCTTTTGTTGCTAGATCCCAATAGGTCATCCATCGTAGGAGCACTCTTTTGTACTCTTACTTTAAGGGTTCTTAGCCAACTATTGCACTAAATGGTGCTTCATTGTATAGAGTTTTCAATATTTCTCTTTCTTTTGCTGTAATTGCACCAAAGATAATTTTTGAAAAAAAAAATTTTGGTCCATTTTTTAGAAAGATTTAATAGTAACAAGTCCCTTTGATTATTTTTGGTAGTCATGACTGACATTTTAGAATTAGGCGTGTCACTATTCTTGTTTTTTTTTTGTTTTCTTTTGTTTGTTTCAAGGAGAAGACCTCGTTTAAGGAGAGTTAATTTTATCTACCAAAGGTTGAATTCTTGGTCAAATTCAACATTCAATTATAAAATAATTTCAATTACTTTTTCTTTATATTGTTTGAGCACCATGGCAGCATTGTGGCATTTCATCGTGAGATTTTGGTAGTATTCTTTTATACAATAAACTTTCATTGCTTTAAAATATTCAATGATAGAGTGGTTTATCTTATGTGATTCTTGGAAGTTTTGTTTTGATCTCTTAGATGAGAGTAACAACCTTTTAAACGTCTTTTGCAATTCTTATGAGTTGGTTTACTTTACAACCTTTTAAACGTCTTTTGCAATTCTTATGAACATGTATTGATGCTGGTGTTGCCCTAGTGCTCGATACGTGCACTGCGTTCTCATGGGGTAGAAGTCCCGCGAGCTCGCAGATCACGAGTTGTCGGGACAATGACAGAAGTGGTACGAAGCTTCGTCCCGCGAGGGTAGAATCACAAAGTAGACTCGCGAACCGTCGCGATCCTGGCAGAGGCTTGCAAGCTACCACACTTGGGAAGACTTTTCTGGATTTTTCTGCCCTCCTTTTGTGTCAGAGCCTATAAATTGTTGTCCTAGGTATGTAGGGAGTCAGTTTTGAGTGTGTTTAGTTTTAGATCTTTTGTGTGGAGTTTCCTTCCCCTTTGTGGGCTGTATCTGGGGAGGTGGTGTTGCTCTGACTGTATCTCTTCCGCGGTGGTGATTGTATCTTCCACTTTTATCCTCTCCAACCTATCTCTTTCACTCCCCTTAACCGCCTCCCACTTCAATCTTCTCCTAACCACCACACAATCGCTGTCGAACACCCACAACCCTTACCACTTGCTGTCCCTTCAGTTCCATACCTTCCCCTCGCTGCCAGCAGCACTTTGTTGCTGTCACCTCCCCTGCTAGGCATCCCGACCCACCTCACCAATCTTCACCCATTGTAATACATCTAAAAGTGTTGTTGGCGTCATTTTGTGTTTGTATATTTTAATATTAATGAAAATTTACTTTTTTGTGTTTTCATTATTTCTCTTATTACTAGTTCCGATATCATTTGGTATTAGAGCTAGTTCAATTCTAGTCTATTCCAGGGTTCTTCAGCACCCACCCCTAGTAGATTCACCTCGATCAACTTTTTTTTTCTTTCAATTCACAATTTGAGCCATGCCACCATAAAGAGATATATCAGACTCTACTCGGGAAGAGATCCAATGTGAAATTCGTCGTTTGTAACAGAGACTAGTAGAGTTAGATGACGGGAACCAGAAAGAGATTACCTTCGACTGTGATCGAAAGAGTTTTAGGGCAAACAGAGATGAAAATCTTAATCCGTTCCACAGGGAAGATCACAACGACGAAGAATATCGGCAGCCGTTTTGGTATCCAATATCAAATGAGGCCAAGAGAAGAGGCCTCTTATGGAGGCCGGCGGGATTTTGGCTTCAAGTTGTACCTCCCAGAGTTCGAGGCAAGTATGGATCCCGATAAGTTTATCGACTGGCTGCAATCCGTTGAAGGGATTTTTGAATATAAAGATGTACCAAAAGATAAACTAGTTAAGCTAGTCACTATTAAGCTGAAGAAGGGTGCTTCCGTATGGTGGGAAAATGTGCAGATAGTGAAAAGATTATTAGGTGAGAGAAGATGAAGAAAGTAATTTAGAAAAAGTTTCTCTCACCCCACTATCTCCAGGATATGTTTCTAAAACTTCACAACTTGCATTAGAGGGATCTTTTAGTCGATGAGTTCACTGCCCAATTTGATCACTTGCAGATGAAATGCGAACTGACGGAGTCAGAGGAACATAAGATAGCCAAATATCTTAGAGGTCTGAAACACGTCATCAACAATTTGGTATAGTTAGAACCATACTGGACACTGCGGGATGTTCAAACATTAGGATTGAAGGTGGAAATACAACAAAAAACAGAACCAACAACAATCATCTTTCAAGTAACAACCTTCAGGCAGGCTTCGCCGTAACATATTAGTCATGAAGAGAACCAGCCGACCCACGGGTAGGGTAATCACGCACACAGATCAAGGCAGCATAGAAGAAATTAGCGATGAAGAAAAAATCGAGTTACAGAGTGAGGAGTATTAGCTTCACCCAAATCAAGGAGAGGTGCTCATGATTCGACGAATCCTACAAACTGAGGACACGAGAGATTTGCAGTGGCTTCGCCACAACATGTTCTACACCCGCTGTACAGTGAATGGAAAAGTATATATTCTCATCATCAACGACGAAAATAGAAAGAACGTGGCGTCAACACTGATGATAAAGAAATTAGGACTCGCAACTCAGGGACATTCCTAGCCATATTCACTGACGTGGCTGAAGAAGGAGAATCAGGTCAGTATCAACCAAAGATGCTTGGTAGAATTTTCGATCGAAGGCCAGTTGTAAGACTAGGTGTGGTGCGACGTGGTCCTTATGGATGTCTGCCACCTATTGTTGGGACGACCATGACAATTTGACCGAAGAACTCATCACGACATATATAAAAGCACTTATTCCTTCACCAAGGATAGAAAACACATCACTCTCCTTCCTTCGACGGAGTCTGAGGTCACAAGATCTCTTTTCAACAGAATGACATCAGTGGAACCGGTTTTAGTAATGGCATCAGTCAGGAGGACAAAGACACCCACCCCTGATATAAGGTCGATACAACCAAGGATATGTCAGGACAATGTCATACCAGTAGGTCATGCGAGAAGGGTCAGATTACTTCCACTGTACGCCCATTTGAACCGATTGTGGGTTACTTTTGGAAGACTCAACAGTGTAAGCGTGGTCTACTGCCACAGGAGGACAAATCGATATGGGCATTTGCTCACAAGATAAGGAAGTCCCTCAAATACCTCGGGCAACAGTACAATCGCCAGTGCGATCCAGGATGACTGATAACAAAACGTAAGCTTCAACCAATAAAGTTGAAGCTCCCTTAACCTCAGGAGACTGAAGCTGGTGTTGCCATAGGGCCCGATGCGGGTGCGCCAATCCCGCGGGGTAGAAGCCCCGTGAATTCGTGGGATCGCAAGTTATCACGACGACGACAAAAGAGGCGCGAAGCCTCGTGAAATAGTGGGAAAATTCTTGCGAGGGTAGAATCACGAAGCAGACTTGTGAGTCCTCACGATTTGTGCAGAAGCTTGCAAGCTACTGCATTTTGGAAGACTTTTCTGGATTATTCTTCCCTCCTTTTTGTGTCGGAGCCCATAAATTGCTGTTCTAGATATGTAGGGAGTCATTTCTGAGTGTGTTTAGTTTCAAATCTTTTGTGTGGAGTTTTTGTGGGCTGTACCCGGAGTGGTAGTGGTGCTCCGGCCGTATCCCCTCCACGGTGGTGATTGTATCTTCCACTTTTATCATCGCCAACCTTTCTCTTTCACTCCCCTTAACCGTCTACCATGTCAAGCTTCTCTTGACCACCACACGACCACTGCAGACCACCCACAACTCTTCCCACTTGCTGTCCCTTCAGTTCCACACCTTCCCCTCGCTGCAACCAACGCTCTGTTGCTGTCACCTCCCTTGCTGGCCATCCCGACCCTATCTCACCGATCTCCACCACCAATTAGAATACATTTAGAAGTTTTGTTGATGTTATTTTGTGTTTGTGTTATTATTTTCTATTTGAATCATGCCGTAATCCTATTTTAATATTAATGAAAGTTTGCTTTTTGTGTTTCCACTATTTCCTTTATTAGTTCCGATTTGATATATCGTCTACTAATTTTAAGCAACATGGTGTTCAATAACCAAAACAAACTTTGGATTTTTCAAACTTGGAGGAGGTTCCATAAGATGGTGGATTTTATTTTCTTTCAAAAATGTCTTTGCCAATGTCATGTATCTTATTTCATTCCAACATTCTTTGACAACATTAAACTGATTTTTAGCATTTTTTATGGTTGAATTTTTGGAAGGGAAGTAAAAAAAAAAAAAAATCAGGCATGACAATGAGGATCAAAAGTAGAGATAGTTTGGAATTAGGATCCTAAGCTTGCTCTGATATTATATTGAAAAGAGTAAGTGGTTAGAAAGTTTACTTTGCTCAATCTCCCATGAGTATTTATATACAAAATAACTAGAAAATAATTGGAAATTACCAATTTTAAAGAATTTAATGATTATAGTTGTTGTCTAATCTTTACTATTTTTGTTGATGGAAAAAGGGAGTAATTAATGGCACTCTCCATTTCATGGTAGACACATAAATCGATGCCTCATATTTTCCCTCATTTAGCATATAAATTCATGGTTCCTTTCATTTTCTTAATCTACCAATCCTAGGACTGTAAATTCTGTCAGCTCTTATATATTTTTAACCTTATCTTTAAAGCATGTACTTATAGATAATTTTTTAGGAGAGTTATAGTGATTAAAAATTTGTAATTATATATATCATTTGGATTTTTTGGGCAGAATATCATCACACATGCGCATGACAGCACGGACTTCTACATGCACCATGCACCCATATGTACTTTCATGCACACATGCATCCGCACTTGCATGCATGAACTTATACACACACATCCACTGCTGCACAGATGCATATATTTCATATGAAATATAATATAAGTCTACGGTTCTTGTGTTGCAAAAGAAAGGAAGTTTGTTGCACTAAATTGGAGAGCTGAATTTATCAGCTTTTAAGGTATGCTTTTAGGGACAAGAGACGGATTCATTTACTTGAAGAATTTGCAATTTTTTTTTTGTTTTTTGATGAATAATTTTAATTTACAATAGTATTTTCAGATACACACATTTCATACATAATATAATATAATTATATGTTCAATTTGTTGTAAAAGCAAGGAGGCTAGCCGAGTACAGAATAAACTATCTCGAAGCAAGCTTTCTGGAAATTAATACAGATTCATTTACTATTGATGAATTTGCGGCTTCCTTTTGATGAAGGAATTTTAATTTACAATTTTAGTGTCATTGGGTTCTATTTTCCTTTTTTAATCTCAGTCCATTGTGTTAACCTATCAGGACATGTAAAGTGTTATATGTATCCATTTAATCAGCAACTCTTTATCATTTCTTTGTTAAGGAACAAGAAGCAGTCTCTAGAAGATTGTTTTTGGGAAGCTTGGGCTTGCCTTTGTTCGTCATCTACTCATTTGCGGGTATGAGCTAGCACCGAAGAATTACCAAGCTCTGTGCATGCATTTAAACTAACGAATTAATTTTCAGTTTTAATAGAAAACACATTTTTTTTCTCATGTGTTTTTTGCAAATAATCTATTTTGACAATAGCATCGGACATTTTGGTTCTGGAATAAATAAATAAGAATTTCCCACTAATTTTCTTAGTCCGAGCTATTACTACCTGGTAGTTGCTGATGGGCTGCGTAGGTCTATTGAAATTGATGTTCTTTAAGAATGAATATTTTTTGGTGGTAAATTAAAATTATTTATTTGTGTAAACTTTTTTAAAAGGGTAAACCATTCTCAAGATGTCGACATCGGAGTTAACCAAACAAGAGTGGAAAATCAGAAATAACAACAAATGACAATACAAACTCAAACTAGAGTGGATCTTGGGGTGGTGGTAGTGCTCTGCGAGGGTTTGGATCTTTGGAGAGGTAGCAAAGGGTGGTTGATGGGCTTGAAAGTGTGGCGGCAAGAAAGGGGTGTTGGTAGCAGTGAGGGGAAGGTGCGAAGCTGTAGGAACAACAAGTTTGGTTGCTGTCCTGAGCAGTGGAATTGATAACGAAGGCTGGACAACGAGGGAAACAATATATAGAGGTTGTTATGGGCGTCAACTGCGAGGGGAAACAACGGGCGGCAATGACAAGGATGCAGGGGGATTGCAGGACAACAAGAGGACGGTTTTTCGGGGTAGTGGTAGTGAGGGCAAGCAGCTGGACTTGGAAATCACAGTGAAAACAACAATGAGCTACTGTTCGGGGGCTGCTGCAGCAATGAAGGCCAACCAGGAGCGACATAAAGAGGATGCAAAAGTGGATAAGGGAAGATAATCACTATATCTGGAGTAAGATATAGCCTGAGTACCATGCGGCCCTCAAATAAAGCCCTAGAAGGAAACACAGGGATGTCGATGGCTGTAATGAACAGAAACACGACAAAAAGTGAATTTAAAATATCGGGAATACAAATATATGTCCCTGGGATAACTAGGAGTGGACCTGTCCCAATAAATGACAAGCCCATGCATGGGAGGGTTGGCTGGTCCCTCCTGTGATTGGAACGAACCGGTCTAGACACGATAAAAATTGAATTTAAAATATCAAAAATACAAATATATATCCCTAGGATAACTAGGAGTGGACCCCACTCCCAATAAATGATAAGCCCTTGCATGTGAGGGTTGGCCTGTTCTTCATGTGTTTGGAACGAATCGGTCCAGACGTGACAATTGCCGTGCTCCTGTGCTGGGGCGCTATTCCACATTCATCTTTTGATGCTTGCGTCAGTCTCCCGGGGTTGGGGGAGCTTCGACCTCATCTATCGAAGTTTCTGGCTCATCGTAGTACAATGTTATGTTGACCACGTTGAAGGTGATGGTGCTGCTATAACTTCCCTGTAAGTCAACCTTGTAGGCGTTGTCATTTTAAATCACTTCCTGATAGAATAAGTATTCATTCTCTTTTGACATAACTTGAGTATTAGCTGCATATCGACGTAGATTTTCATAAAATAACTCTCAAGCTATTAAGTCTGTAATTTGCCTCTTCCACTTCCCACACTCGGCAGGGCACATCCGTTAAACAAATTTGTTTGGAAAAACTAACTCTGAATTGAAATCTGTGGCAGGTTGCACAACTCTCAATTGCAACCTCTCGCGACAGTCCTTTTCTTCTCTGGAAGGACCTGGATCCCATTGTAGGATGTTCTTTACCGTAAAACTCCTAAGGCGATTTCCAACACTGTGGGTCATCCCTCATGTTGGTACATTTCTGAACTAAATTTAATACCCAAATGACTCCATATATTATTCTAGAAGTAGCTCAAAAGCTTCTCATCTTTAATATGTTGGACTTCCCTCAGCAGGGGAAACTCAGGAAGTAGGCCATATATCGAAAATTTTTTAAATTCTCTTATATGAAGTTGCGCTATATCTAGTATTGACTCTTCAAACTTATGACCATTTTGGACATACAATGATAGTCCTGCTAATGCTCTTCTCAACGCTTGCAAAAAGTTAGACCGAGGCACCTCAACCTTTTGCTCTGCATGAACGCCCATTAACTCAGACTCACTCCCTTATGGAACAACTACTGTTAATTATTTGGAGCATCTCTTATAGGCTCAGCTTGAATTACATGCATCTCTCCTTCATCAGTTGGTAGCTAATACTCATCCTTTGTGTCATTGCTTTCTTCAGTGTCTATTGTCTTGTCCATTTCTTTTACTGCTCCCTGCTCTGTGAAATAGACTGTACTCTTGTTTGGGTAATCTTATGTACTATGCCCAAAACAATTGAACTTGATGCACTTCTTGGCTGAGACATATTTGAGAATATTGGTTGACTTCACATATTCTCCATTCAATTAATTTTTTTTCAGGCAAAGACTGTTCAGATGCTTGATCAGGTGTACTCTTGCTGTTTGATCCTGGGTTTGAACTTTCACAGTGAAATGTGGCGGTTATCTGGTGATGTTGCCTCTCCACTTTTGAAGCTCGAATCTGAACATCAAAGTGGTAATTAACTGGTAGATACTTGTGCTGCATGTCTCATTTCATCTTGAACCAAGTAGTGTTTTTTTCCCTTCTCGATTTTGTTGGTGCATCAAATTTCTCATCACAACAACACACATTTCCTTAACTTGGAGGCGACTAGTTTTATCATTTTGTCAAGTGGGAAATCTTGGTACTCAAAGACATGTTCTACTATTTGGAGCTACTTGATGAACTCATTGGAATTTATGCAACTGTCAAAATATGTCAGGCCACTATGCACTCCAAAATTTTGGCTTCTTTGATATTTAATGCCCATCAAATGACTCCATATATTATTCTAGAAGTAGCTCAAAAGCTTCTCATCTTTAATATGTTGGACTTCCCTCAGCAGGGGAAACTCAGGAAGTAGGCCATATATCGAAAATTTTTTAAATTCTCTTATATGAAGTTGCGCTATATCTAGTATTGACTCTTCAAACTTATGACCATTTTGGACATACAATGATAGTCCTGCTAATGCTCTTCTCAACGCTTGCAAAAAGTTAGACCGAGGCACCTCAACCTTTTGCTCTGCATGAACGCCCATTAACTCAGACTCACTCCCTTATGGAACAACTACTGTTAATTATTTGGAGCATCTCTTATAGGCTCAGCTTGAATTACATGCATCTCTCCTTCATCAGTTGGTAGCTAATACTCATCCTTTGTGTCATTGCTTTCTTCAGTGTCTATTGTCTTGTCCATTTCTTTTACTGCTCCCTGCTCTGTGAAATAGACTGTACTCTTGTTTGGGTAATCTTATGTACTATGCCCAAAACAATTGAACTTGATGCACTTCTTGGCTGAGACATATTTGAGAATATTGGTTGACTTCACATATTCTCCATTCAATTAATTTTTTTTCAGGCAAAGACTGTTCAGATGCTTGATCAGGTGTACTCTTGCTGTTTGATCCTGGGTTTGAACTTTCACAGTGAAATGTGGCGGTTATCTGGTGATGTTGCCTCTCCACTTTTGAAGCTCGAATCTGAACATCAAAGTGGTAATTAACTGGTAGATACTTGTGCTGCATGTCTCATTTCATCTTGAACCAAGTAGTGTTTTTTTCCCTTCTCGATTTTGTTGGTGCATCAAATTTCTCATCACAACAACACACATTTCCTTAACTTGGAGGCGACTAGTTTTATCATTTTGTCAAGTGGGAAATCTTGGTACTCAAAGACATGTTCTACTATTTGGAGCTACTTGATGAACTCATTGGAATTTATGCAACTGTCAAAATATGTCAGGCCACTATGCACTCCAAAATTTTGGCTTCTTTGATATTTAATGCCAAATATCCACGTTATTAGTTTTTCATCATTGGAAACCGTGCTGTGGTGTGATTCGCTTCATCATTTTGATCTGATGAATCGCCGTTGTGGCTACAATAGACCTTTCAGGATTGTCTTTTCTTGAAGGTGGCAAGTCTATGTTGCATTTGGAAGATTTCCCTATAAAATTTTTGAACATTTCTTTGTGGATTTCTCATAAGCGGCATTATGCCATTTTCTCCCAATCATATTTTTGAAACAAATTTTTAGGTTTGGAGGGGTTGAAGGGTTTGTAGGGGTGGTCTGAGTGGAATGGGGAGAGAAAAGACATATTTGGGGAGGGGGGTTAATTTGACAACCTTAGGATAAAGCTAACGTTAGGTTATATCTGATACCAAATGATATTGGAGTTAACCAAATAATAATGAGAAAATGATTATTATTGTTAAATTCATATAGGAATTTAAAGATTACTGGAAATTAGAAATTGTAACAAATGACAACACAAATTCAAACTAGAGTGGATCTTAGGGTGTTGGTGGTGATCGACTAGAGAGGTAGCAAAGGTGATTGATGGACTTGAAAGTGTGGCACTAGCAAAGGGGTGTTAGCAGCAATGAGGGGAAGGTGCAAAGCTGCTGGGACAACAAGTTTGGTTTTTGTCATTGGCGGTGCCTGTCTTGATCTGACTTGATACTTGAAATTAAACAAAGCAGATACAAGAAGATCAGACAGTGGAAATTTAAATTTTCTATAACTAATATTTTAATAATGAAAGCACCACTATAAAACAAAAATTTAAAGTAATACAACTAAATTTATCTCGATTTTTGTTGTCCGCGTCTTCCATAAACATTTTTTCTTCCAACACTCATCTTTTAATCAATTAATTAAACATGAAATGTTATTTTAAAACAAAACCGAACTAACTAAAACCACTGAATACTTTTACTCCTAAATCATTGTAACACAATGAAAAGAAGACAATATGCATGCAATCAAGCTTTTATGTAAATCAATCTAAGAAAATGTGAAGATTCGTACTAAAAAATATGATCATTTAATATAATTTTAAACATTCACCATTTCTTATTGTATCATTTGCATATCAATGTCTTTTTAATCTGTATTCAATCGTCACAAAAACACCTTCTAAAATTAAACCATGT